AAAAAAAAAAAAAAAAAAACACATAGTAAAACCAATACTTTTTCAGCTTCACATCGGAGCTAAAATCATTACCATCTTTTATACTTATTGTAGATTGTATAACTCAAATAAAGAAAAAAAATTTTTGTTATGCTAAAATGTACTACTGATATACATTTGTTTTTATATTAATTCAATATTTACTGCAGACAAATATTTTCAAAAACTAAGTTTATATCAAATTTTATTAAAAATATAACAGCACACTTCTTTTACAAAATTTTATTTAAAATAAATTATATATTTCTTGTACAATATAATTTATTTTCATAAGCTATTTCATATTAATTTGATATCACAGTATATAATATATTTTTAATAAACATATACTTTTTTTAATACAAGAGAATCTTGATAATATGACAACATATATTAATGTTCACCTTTTTTTGAAGGCTAAAAGAAAATTTTATCCTCTTCCTTTTATATAATTTCTGCTACTTTACATCAATCAATTATATTTAAATTTTATAATATTATCCTTTTTAAGACACATAATCCTATAAAGAAAGGGCATATTCTTTTAGTTTTCAATTACTACTAGACAATTTTAATTAAACAACGGGGGCAATTTTCGTAATCTAAAATTATTTTCTTATCATCAGGTAGACAGCGGTATAAAAAGGCTGGCCATAAATAGCAGGGATAGAAACTAAGGAGATAATGAAAATAANGCCATAAATAGCAGGGATAGAAACTAAGGAGATAATGAAAATAATTTTTTAGTATCAGACATTAGCTTCTTTAGTGCAACCTAAAAATTATTGAAAGGCATCCCTTGTCATAACATTTAAATGATCTATGGAGAAATTTCCTGATCTACCAGCTATATAAACACAAAATGCTAGTTTTAGAATAGAAAAGTAGTTATTTTCAATCAATAATTCTAATGGGCAGTATTTTTAGTATTATTAATAAAATATGGTTATATGGATATGGACACATTCCAAATGAAAATAAATTTATTAAGTATTTATCTCTAGCTAAAACATATTCAAACCTTATTTATTAATTTATATTATACACTGATACAATTTTATGAAGCTTTGATTCCATTTCCAGAGGGGGGTACTATTAAATCACAGTGTAAACCAAAAAGTAAGTTGCATTTAACCATAAAATAAAAATTACATTACATTAATGAAATTTTTTTTTTTATTTGAAAGTAGACATAAAATGCAATGCTTTTTTTCACTAAAGCTGTCAACTAAATTGTGGTTATGAGAATGTCTGTATACTTTTCATTTAAATATATGGAGGATATTATAGGTAATTTTTGTCAAAAGACATGAATAAGACGGTTTCCCCAGATGATGATTTTTAAAAATTTTTTAGTCCTACAATAACTAGACGAATTTACTTTATTAGTCTATTCAATTGAATTAACTTGTTTTTATAAAAGATTTCATTAAGTGTTTTTGATGTAAGAGGTTTTTTACTCGGTGTTCATGGTTATAGAATTGGGAGGATTAGGAGGTTAATCACTCCTAAAATGAAAAATATTTCTACCAACTGTATATTCCAAAAATTTTTCACAATCTGAGGTTCTTTTAAAATGGCTCAAATAAAATTTATAAATACATATAATTCACAGCCCTGGTCATAACTTTGAATATGTTGTCAAGTTTTAAAAAACGGAATAATACCCAAAGCCTACAATTTTTTTTCTTCATTAAATTTTAAAAAGATTTATTAAGTTGAGTTCTCTCACAAACTCCTTCAGCCTATAGTTGTCAATTTTGATCGCTATAATTTACTCATTTATTGCATCAACTGACACACAATCATCTGAATACAGGCCACTTTAAAATTAAACGATAATTTAGAGATGATTTATCAAACTTTTGTCACACACTTTTTGCACTAAGTATTGAATTTGAATAAGTGTAAGAATAAGCAAATAATTATAAGAAAGACTATTGATCTAAATTTGTAATATAACCTGAGGTATTATCAAACTAGCTATAATGAAACAATTATAATGTTGCTTGGCAAGAAAAATCTTTTATGGGCTTTAGAGAATATTTTATGTAATATTTTGGGTTATGTGTTTTATCAAACAGCAAGAAATGATTGTTGTGTATTACTCTGGGTTGTACTATCCATTATTTAGCAAAAATATAATCATTGAAATTCTAAAAAAGTTATTTCCTAATATTAATAATAAAATTAATTATTAATTTACCTTAAATTCCTAGGTAGGAATAGCACTGACTCAATGGGCTTGTCTAATATTAATTTTGTATGGTACATAGGTGGTGGTATAACTACTTCATTGAAAGGAGTTAACAATACAGAACCTAAAAGATATCATTTTTAAATTTTAATAAAAATAAATTGAAATTCCAAAATTTATCTTACAATTATTGATGACAGCCACCCAATCTAGTGAGTCACAGTTTGAAGTATGTAATATTTCTATCCAGTGTAAAATAAAGTATAAACCATTTTTCGTAACTAATTCTAAATTATTATTAAGTAACCATTTCACAGCAATTATGCTGCTTTCAAAAATCATCCATTTTTTTATCTGCCATTGATAATTTGTACATCTTAATAATATTAAACAGTTTTTTCCATCTGAATAATAACAATGAAGACATAGTATAGTACAATCAATACTCCATAATATTTGATTTACCTGCAAATTGTTAATAAATGATTTTTCATTTAAGCTAATAAAAAAATGTATTTTTTATTTTAAATATGTCTTTTAATATATTTAATGGTACACCATTTTCAAATTGAAAAATATTTTATATATTGGTTGAAATAGACTAATAACGAAAAATCTCAATTTTCTTTGATATATTCCATTAATTCTAGACCCTCATATTGTATTAGTAAAGAGACAATGGATGCAACTATATAACTTTTTAAAATATAACTATAAAAAAAACGGTAGCACAGTGGGGTCGAGGCACAGTGGGACGAGG